TAAAAAAAATACAAAGATTTAGTGGAATATTTTAATGTGAGACATCTAAACTTTTTTTATTTCATTGAGTTCCGTATATTTTCTTTTATCGTGAATGTCACGAGAATAGCCTTTGAAACTCGATTTCTTGTAGCGTAGATTTATTCGAAATTTTTTCAGTTTCAGCCCATCCTAACATCATTTTCTGACTCCGCCCCTGGGCACATTACCGATATTCCATCATCATGACAATAAATATCACTACTCATAATTTTAATGCATTTTTCTCTTTTTAATCACACATCCGTGAATAAAACATGTATACCCTAATTACACCGTTACATATAGCATTATCGCACCACAAGGAGTTGAAACAAGCTTCGAAAAGTCAGAAACCCCAATTAATGCTACCAATCTCCGAACCATTGACATCTACCCAATCCAGGTACACGGTGTTTGGTAAGCACACACTTTTCACCACATTAATTGAAATTCCAGAATTAGAACTGGGCCAAAGATAAATGCATTTACAGCATCTGAATTGGGCACCCTGCAAAATGGCTGTTGTTCATCATCATCTTAGTTTTTTCCCACCTCGGACTCGCTGTTCATCATTTACTCGCCAAATTGTATCGAAGAATATAAAAAATTCATTCCTTTATTCGCCTGTTAATATTAATTGCTCAGTGATTGTACCTTTTGCTTTGCCCAATTCAAATAATCACGCACCCGTGTCGTCTTTTAGTCAGGTAATGCTGAAAGCTTCTTCTATTCTATCCTTTTATTATTATTATTATTTTCTGTGGTCTAGTGATGGATTTCATTTATTTTTTCTCCTTAATTTTTGGGAATGGGGACTTGTTGCACTTTGATTATTGTTTTTATATTTGAGGGATATGGCATTTTAGAATTGAATTTTAGAATCTGTTTCGATTGCTTGTTTGAGCTTTATGGACGGATTGGAATGCTCTTTTGAGATCCTATTAGTGGTGTAGCCAAGCCTTATATGTTGTGAATTTTTTTATTTAACAGTTGATAGAGGATTTGATAAGTGGGGTGGATTTATCGGAAGTTGAAGCAGAGGCTTCTCTCGATTTCTTGCTGAATGGTGCTGATGAAGCTTTGATTAGTGCATTTCTTGTGTTGTTGAGAGCAAAGGGAGAAACTTATGAAGAAGTAAGTGAATTTTTTTAGGTTCTCATCTCTTTCATGATGATTTCTTAGAGAAGAAAATCGGTGACATTAGAATAATTTTTTTTGAAAGTTGAATATATTGATGTAAGATTCAAAAAAAAAAAAAAAAAAGTTCGTTTGACTGAAAAAAGTTTATTTCAGATGTTCAGTTTAAAACCATCCAATTTGATTTTTTTTTTATCGTGGCTATCCAATTTTATACTTAGTGTCATAGCCGTTCAAATTTCATATAACATTTTACCATGACCACCCAGCTTCTTTTCACAATTTTCATTAATTTTAAAAATGGTAAAACGGTATCTTTGCATTATATATAAAATAATTTTTTTAAAAAAAACTTATTTAAAAAAAAACGTTACTTAAAAAATTAAAATAAAAACTTATTTATTAAAAAAAAATGTTACTTAGAAAAGTAAAATAAAATAAAGCTTATTTTTAAAAAGTTACTTAGAAAAGTAAAATAAAATAAAACTTATTTTAAAAAACGTTTTTAAAATAAAACAAAAACTAATTTATTTTTTTAAAAAAAAGTTACTTAGAAAAATAAAATAAAAGTTATTTTAAAAAATCGGTCCTTAAAAAATAAAATAAAATAAAAACTTATTTTAAAATGAACTTTTTAAATTTTTTTAAAAAAAGAACTTATATATATATATATATATATCGTTTTACACCTTTTAAAATTAGTGAAATGGTGAAAAGAAATTGTGTAGCCATGGTGAAATAAAATCAAATAGGTTGGTCACGGTAACACTAAATATAAAGTTGGATGGTCATGGTGAAACAAAATTAAATTGAGTGATAAATTTGGGTGGTCATTGATGGATTTAATCTTACACATCATGTTGTGACATGTATCTACGAATAATTGTATTGTAGCTGTGACTAATTTAAAAAAAAATGGAAAAGAGAAGAAGAAGAAGAAGATATCTAATATGAAGATAAGAATATGGTTGAATAAGCTTAAAAAGTTTACTTATAATTAAAAAGCGTGTTTTAAAATAAATATTTTTTTGATTGGTAAAAGTTGGAATATTAAGATTTACCCTTACCTAAAAGTTACTACCTCTCTTAAGCTTAGCCCTATATGACCGGACTAATTTTTCATAAACGTGATGTGACTTGTAGCTATTGTGTTATTCAAGAAAACCTGAGGCCCTATTTGATAGCTCTTTGTTTTTCATAGAAGATGGAAATTAAAATCCATTTTCACCTTTTTTGTATGTTTGATTGACTTAATTTTCCATGGAATTGGTTTTCCATATTTTCTTGGTTTTTGAGGAAAAGTTTTTCTCATGGGTTTGGTGGGAAAAGTTTTTCTAGGCAACTTTTTTTTATATTTTTTTAGCAATGTAAACAAATTATATCCCCAATTGTAAAAAATTCATCCATTTACAATTTTCATGAAAAATAAAGTCAAATGAATACCAAAAAATCCAAAATTTCAATGTTTTTCAGGTGAAAAATTATATTAATCAAACAAAATTAATTGACAATTCCGAATAAAACAAGTTCTAAGCAATTTAATTCTCTGAATTTCATTTTTTTTCCATCCAAATTCTATTCTTGCAATCAAACGGACCCTAAGGATTCTAATGATCTAATCCTAGCAAAATGTGTACTTTTCTGTAATCCCACGGGCCCAAAAGTAAGGTAATTACCCTGAAATGTAGTTGGAACAGTTCTTTCACAAGGGTTTATATATTTAGGTATTAAGTGCATTTATTGTACAAGAAACTACTTTTCTGGTACCACACAACGTTATGTGTTTCTAATGTGTCACTACCAAGCAGGTGGTTGGACTGGCTAGGGCGATGATAAAACATTGTACCAAAGTGACAGGATTGAATGATGTGGTTGACATTGTTGGGACGGGTGGTGATGGTGCAAACACGGTGAACATATCAACTGGAGCTTCGATACTTGCTGCAGCTTGTGGTGCAAAAGTTGCTAAGGTGGATGATTTGCTTCCAGATAATCCGTTTTAATTAATTTTAATGACGTGTGAAATGATGTTCACATTGAGGGTTGTATTGCAGCAAGGGAATCGGTCAAGCTCGTCTGCTTGTGGAAGTGCTGACGTACTGGAAGCATTGGGGGTCGCTATCGACTTGGACCCAGAGGTTTGTGCAGTTACTTACTATGATATAGTTAATTTTGTGATCAAGTGTGTGTGGGCTTAATAAATGCTCTGTTAATCATCACAATGCCATGCAATTGAGACAAATAGTGACAGTTTCACCCTTTCACATTTGAATAAGTTTTTAAATTAAGCAATATCTGGACTTGATGAAAAAAGATTTGTTGTTCACTTTTTTTAAAAATGCTGATATTATATGCGCACCTGACTAGTATTTTCAGGGGATTTTTTTTTCTTATTGTCGTGGAGCAATCACCACGACATACTTCAATAGCAATCTAATAATATTGTCTAAAAACAGAAAGGCAATCTAACCAAAAGAAAATTGTACCGTCTTTTTATTATGCCAGAATCTGAATATCTGTTTCTTACTTCTCTATGGACTATGGTGAATGATTTTGTTGTTTCATCCAATGAGGGATAAATTGTCGATTATTTTCTGAACCGTGAGCTTGATATCTGTTCACCTTTCCAATCCATCATTGTATGGCTGAATCCATCGGAATTCCTTGAGAACTACAAATATTGAATCTCAATAAGATTTCCTTGGCCATCTTTACTTGTATCTTTTTAAATTTTTAGTATCAGGAGTGAAGGATTAACATAACCAAATATTCTAGGACTTTAGCACGTAGACATAACTTTCAAATAGAATGTTTTCCTCCAAAAACAGGGCATCTTATCAAATGGTACATCAAGGATTATCTTTCTGAACCTTCAATTATACAAGTAGACTTAGCCCCTGTTGAGCTCCACTATCCAAAAACTCCTTTTTTTTATTTTCAAATTCATTTTCAATCACACATTCTACTAATAAAATAATTTGCACACATAGCCTCCTTAACTTATAAGATGCATAAAATTGGACTAGCATGCAGTTGTGACTGAGACGAATTGACTACAGAAATAATCTCAAATCTAATATTCTTGCATAATTTATTTTCAGCCTGTCTCTCAACATGCTTATTACTGTTATTTGTTCAGGGGGTATCGAGGTGTGTGATTGAAGCCGGGATTGGTTTCATGATGGCTCCGATATATCACCCGGCAATGAAAATCGTTAGACCTATCAGGAAAAAGCTGAAAGTGAAAACCGTCTTCAATATCTTGGGCCCTATGTTAAATCCTGCAGGAGTTCCTTTCGCTGTAGTTGGGGTATACGAAGAAAATCTAGTGAGTACCTTGACCATAAATTGTGTGATGGTGAAATTTAATTTCTGATATGTTCAACTTGTTGATTGATAGAACATATCTTCTTAATATATTTTAAAGATGCTTTCAGCATTACAAAGATCTGATAGTATCTTCTTGCTTAGGATATTGATTAGTGTTTTTTCCTGATACTAAATAAAGTTTCATGCTTTAAGAAAATTTTCTGTCCTTGACTAGGTTCATAAGATGGCAAAAGCACTTCAACGGTTTGGCATGAAGAGAGCATTAATTGTTCACTGTGAGGGCCTCGATGAGATCAGTCCCCTTGGTTAGCATCATTTCTGTTGTTTAATGAAATATTTGTTCAAACAGATGTGAAATTATGGAGACTGGATCTTAATCTTAACAAGGAATATTGTCCATTTCGTAATATCTTAGAGAGCTCATGCTTAACAATTCACATTAAATTCCCCTAATGAATGTGAACAGGTCCTGGACTAGTCCTTGATGTTACCCCAGATAAGATAGAAAAGTTCTCATTTGATCCAAGTAAGAATCTCCCTACTCCCTCTTATGATTTAGTAGTTCTCATTTAACTTTGTTGCTTCACACAAATGGTCATTTAGTTTTACATCTTTGGCAGCATGGAAGAAATTCTTGCACTGTCGAGTTTAATTTGTAGTAGGGCACTTCCAAGAAATTATTTGATTTCTTGAATGCATTTTTCCTAAGAGTGGATATTACAATTTTTTGTTAAATTTTCACTAGGGATTAAGTATTTTATTGGAATTGTATTCTTACAAAATTCAGTCATTTTCTAGTGGATTTCGGGATCCCTCGCTGTACTCTAAATGATCTGAGAGGTGGAGATCCAGAATACAACGCAAATGTATTAAAGCTTGTGCTATCAGGAGAAAAGGGGCCCATAGCTAATGCATTGGTAAGTTCTTTTTTAGTTTTTCTTTATATTAATTATTTGAAAATTTTGGTCCATTCATCATATCGAATCACTTGGAATTTGGAAAAATAGATTTACGTGAAAGATCTCTTTATTTAATCTATCTGCACTTTTAGGCAAAGCTTAAAAAGTTCAAACTATAAGTGAATAATAAAAATAATAAATTATTATCGATCGATTGAACTTGGAAATATTTTATATTCGAAAAAGAAATTTTTTTTACATAGAAGTAAGAAAAGTAACTAGTTCAAGCATGTTTGGAAGCGAAAAGGAAAAAAACAAGCAGTGATCTTCATCTTAAATTGTCGAACAGGTGCTAAATGCGGCAGCAGCACTTTTGGTCAGTGGACGTGTTACCGATCTGGCTGAAGGAGTGGATCTGGCTCGTGAAACACATCTGTCTGGCAAAGCTCTCGAGACCCTTGATCTGTGGAAAAATATCTCCAATGTAAGGGGAGGGGACGGATCCTCGTGAATGTTTTGGTTCTATACATTTGTCGTAATCTAATGGACACTGTTTTGTGTTTCAGAAAGAGAAAAAAGCTGCATTAAGGGGTGCCCCAGTCCTGACATGATTGTTAATTTAATGGCTCGAAGACCAAGTCGTCCACAGAGCACAGGATCCACGAAAGATGAAGAAAAACGGTGAATTTTGAGCTTTGAATGTGTAGCGATGGCTGTAATCTTGTAGACATAATATAAGCGGGTAGTAAATTTATTTTGACTTGGTGTGAAGTTCCCTGTTGAGATCATATTTGTACTCTTGATACACTTTCGACACAATGAAAAGATTATTGAGTTTTGATCTACACACCGTTGTGAGATTTCTTGCGTGTCTTGTGCATGGACAGAGACGGGGGGACCAAAAAGACTGAGCTGATGCATAACTAAAAAACCAAAATGAGCTT